ATATTATATATATATACATACATATACACACACACAAACACATACGTACGTATATATAAACTCTTTCCTTGAGCATAATCTAAGTCCCAGAAGAGACTACAGTTATTACTTAAAGAAGCATGATGTGGTGAAAGTGTATGAGTTTTGGTGTCTGACATAAACTGGTTCAAACCCTACTTTTGCCATTTATCAACTATAACCTTAAAGAGTATTCATTTCATCTCTGAACCTCAGTTTCATTGCCTATAAAACAGAGAAGATGTCTTTCTTGCAGGATTATTAAGGATTAGAAATAATATGTATCAACTGCTGGCACACAGTATACTCTCAATAAAGGGTTATTATAAATAACTTCTTTCACTCAGTAATTAACAAAGCCATAAATACTATGTACATAATACATGTTAACAACATAATACATGTTTATTAGGCCTGCAGGTAAAATGATAAGGCAAAAACATACCAGTTAGATAAGAGGTAAACTGCTTTGGACCACAGCGAACAGCATAACGTGTAGTCGTTCTCACAGCTTTTGGTTCAGTCTGCAATGTGTCCCTAGGACAAAATAGGGTTCCATCTGATGTTTCTCCCCACCATCTCACTCGGACAAGTACACAAGTGGGAGGCTTTGCAATCTTCCATATGACCTTATTGACAGTAAGTTTCAGAAAGCAGCGTAGCTGGCCTTCAACCAGTGGTGGTAGGCTTGTAGATGGAGAAATGTCACTCAAACCTGTGGAGGAATCCAAAAACATTAAGTTAAACTTTAGACTAAATATAGAAACATAACCTGCTTTTTGAATGAGAATGCACATTTTAGTCTCTACTAAAGAGAGAGAATGTTTATCCTATGTATTTTATTTTATTTTTAAAGATTTTATTTATTCATTTGACAGAGAGAGAGAGAGGGAACACAAGCAGAGGGAGTGGGAGAGGGAGAAGCAGGCTTCCTGCTGAGCCGGGAGCCCGATGCGGGGCTCCATCCCAGGACCCTGGGATCATGACCTGAGCCGAAGGCAGACGCTTAACGACTGAGCCACCCAGGTGCCCCTATCCTATGTATTTTAATACATGAGAAGTAAATGGCAAACCAGACCATAGAATAACCTACCTGGTCACTTAAGCCACCTTGATAACTAATTAGTATTCAGAGTCTGATTCAGGTTATTCTAAGTAAAGCACATAATACCAACTTAAGACATGCTAAAACAAACTCCTCTTTAATCGAAAGATATCATTTCATGCACATAAAAACCACAATGAGATATCACCTTACACCGTCAGAATGGTTAGAATCAAAAAGATAAGAAACTACAAGTGTTGGCAAGGATGTGGAGAAAAAAGAACCCTCATGCACCATTGGTAGGAATGTAAATTGGTGTAGCTACTGTGGAAAACAGTATGAATGTTCCTTAAAAAATTAAAAATAGAATTACCATATGATCCAGTAATTTTTTTTTCTTAAAGATTTTATTTATTTATTTGACAGAGAGACACAGCCAAAGAGGGAACACAAGCAGGGGGAGTGGGAGAGGGAGAAGCAGGCCTCCCACGGAGCAGGAAGCCCGATGCGGGGCTCCATCCCAGGACCCTGGGATCACGACCTGCGCCGAAGGCAGACTCTTAATGACTGAGCCACCCCGGTGCCCCGATCCAGTAATTTCCACTACTGGGTATTTACCCAAAGAACAAAAAAAACACTAATTAGAAAAGATATATGCACCCCTATGTTTATTGCAGCATTATTTACAGTAGCCAAGATGTGGAAGTAACCCAAGTATCCATTGATAGATAAATGGATAAAAGAGATGTAGTGTATGTACACAATGGGATATTACTCAGCCATAAAAAAAAGAATGACATCTTGCCTTTCAAACAACATGGATGGACCTAGAGGGTATTATGCTAAATGAAATAAGTCAGACTGGGAAAGACAAATACTATAGGAGTTCACTTACAGGTGGAACCTAAACGAATAAAAAGCAGAAACAGACCCATAAATACAAGGAAAAACTGATGGTTACCAAGGGGAGAGGAGTGGGAGGATGGGCAAAATAGATGAAGGGGAATGGGAGATACAGGCTTCCAATTATGGAATGAATAAGTCATGGGGATAAAAGGTACAGCATAAGGAATATAGCCAATGGTACTGTAATAATATTGTATGGGGATAGATGGTAGCTACACTTGTGGTGAGCATAGTATAACATATAGATTTGTGGAATCACTATGTTGTACACCTGAAACTAATGTAACATTGTATGTCAAGTATACTTCAATTAAAGCAGATACCATTTCAAAAATAGGAGCATGATGATACAGTACACAGGTTTTTAAAATCTCAAAAGTAGCTGAAATTTTTCTTCCAAATAGTGTTGTTTTTTATTATTGCAATATCCAGGTTTCAAGATATGTTATCTTTACCTCTCTTACTTTAAAACCATCACTAAACATGAAACAGCAACGACTCCCTTCACTCAATGCTCAAAATATTAAGTCTATACCATACGACTTAGCATTTCAATAAAGACCACCTTAAACTGTGTAGTTTCCTTCCTGCCAACATCATTCAGTCAATGAAGACAGACACTATCATCTTCAGATTCTGCCACTATTTTTTAGTACAGTACTGGGCTCAGAATATTTACTGGCTTTTATAATATTTATTGGATTTCAGACAGATAATAAATGTAAACAAGGCATTTAATCATGACTTTATATAAAATTTTCCTTTAATGACCTTGACTGTCTTCCATTCATAGTTATCTCCTAATCATGACTTAGAGGAGATTTAAGAAACTACATATGAGGGACGCCTGGGTGGCTCAGTCGTTAAGCATCTGCCTTTGGCTCAGGTCATGATCCCAGGGTTCTGGGATCGAGCCCCGCATCGGGCTCCCTGCTCAGTGGGAGGCCTGCTTCTCCCTCTCCCACTCCTCCTGCTTGTGTTCCCTCTCTCGCTGTGTCTCTCCTGTCAAATAAATAAAATCTTTAAAAAAAAAAAAAAAGCGTCTGCCTTCGGCTCAAGTCATGATCGCAGGGTCCTGGGATCGAGCCCCACATCGGGCTCCCTGCTCCATGGGAAGCCTCCTTCTCCCTCTCCTCCTGCTTGTGTTCCCTCTCTTGCTGTGTCTCCGTCAAATAAATAAATAAAATCTTAAAAAAAAATGAAAGAAACTGTATATGAGAGATCCTGGGTGGCTCAGTCGTTAAGCATCTGCCTTCAGTTTGCTCCCTGCTCCATGGGAAGCCTGCTTCTCCCTCTCCCACTCACCCTGCTTGTGTTCCCTCTCTTGCTGTATCTCTGTCAAATAAATAATAAAATCTTAAAAAAAAAAAGAAACTATATATGAATATAAATATTCACTCATAAAAAAGAATGAACTCTTGCCATGTCCAACAACATGGATAGAGCTAAACGTAAAATGCTAAGCAAAATAAATCAGAGAAAGACAAATACCATATGATTTCACTCATGTGGAATTTAAGAAACAAATGAACAAAGGAGGAAAAAAAGAGAGACAAACCAAGAAACTGACTCTTAACTATAGAAAACAAACTGATGGTTTCCAGAGGAGAGGTGGGGGGATGGGTGAAATAGGTGATGAGGAGTAAAGAATACAACTTATGATGAGCACTGAGTAATATATAGAACTGTTGAATCACCATATTGCACAACTGAAACTAATTTAACACTGTATGTTAGCTATACTGGAATTAAAAAAAAAAAGAAACCCTTCCCATATTACACACACCTTTCTATTCCTCTTACTTTTCACTTGGAGAGTGGTCACGCCTAACAAGAAGAAAATATACTGGAGTCTATCAGATCAGGAGACCTATGTAAGTCAGTCTTTGGATTTCTAAAGTGAACATCTTCTCTGCTCTCTATAGTTCAAGATGACAAACCGTAATCCTTCTGGATAACTAGTTTCAATATAAAAATAATACACAGGTGTGTATATGAGCATTATTGTATATATATACATGGTACAGCAAGAAGAACATTCTTAAGTTATTGTTATTTTTATTTTCCTCCTATCAACCAAATATGCTTGACTGGTTTGGCATAGGGAGCACCAGCATTGAATATACCCATGCTTCTATTTCATATCCTCCCATCATTCCTGGCAGGAAAGGTACTGCCTCAGAACTGCCTTAGTTATCTTTAAACAGCTTGGATAAGATTCATTTCCAGACTGTAGATTCAGTCTCAATCCAATGGCCTAATGTACTATCACTCTTCCTAATACTACTTTACCTATAATGTAAAAAGGCAAAGTCACACACAGTTTGTTTGTTTTGGAGGCAGCCCTATAAAGATTCAATTTCCAGTTTCTTGATCTGTCCTGGGTTACTAGGGCGACTGTTCTCTCTGCAGCTAACATTTCCCTGCTCTTCTGGTGAGCACGTTTCTTCTTAAGCCTACTATCCTGATAAGGTCCTCTTGCTACACACTCTTTCATCCTCTCAAATCCTTCAGATTCTCATGCCTTCACCCTCACTCCAACACTACCACACCTTGTCACTCTCCACTCTTTCTTCCTCTCTCCTCCACAACTATCTTTCCCAACTCCTGCCTGTAGCCCTTCATGCTTCATGACTGTCTCAGGTTTGACTCATTCAGCCAACATCTACCAACTCCTGCTTTGTGCTTGTTCTTAGGGATTCAGTAACATATAAAACATGATCCTTGCCTATTAGAATTATTGACATACCACCTCTCCAACTTATGTGTCTTCCAGTCCGTGTGGAACTCCAAAGGTATACCTTCTCACACACAAACACACATTTAACTTTGTTATCAAAAGCATTCCTGGGATGCCTGGGTGGCTCAGTCGGTTAAGCGTCTGCCTTTGGCTCCAGTGGTGATCCCAGAATCCTGGGATCCAGTCCTGCATCGGGCTCCTTGCTCAGCGGGGAGTCTGCTTCTCCCTCTGCCTGCCGCCCCCCCTGCTTGTACTCTCGCTCTCTCTCTCTCCCTCTCTCTCTGGTAAATAAATAATCTTAAAAAAAATAACAAACTCCTAAGTCATGGGGATGTAACGTACAGCACAGTGACTATAGTTAATAATGTACATATTATATATTTGAAAGTTTCTAAAAGATCTTAAAAATTTTACATCTTAAAAATTTTCAAGACAGGGCGCCTGGGTGGCTCAGGTGTTGGGCGTCTTCCTTGGGCTCAGGATATGATCCCAGCGTCCTGGGATCGAGCCCCGCATCGGGCTCCCTGCTCTGTGGGAAGCCTGCTTCTCCCTCTCCCACTCTCCCCGCTTGTGTTCCCTCTCTCGCTCTGTCTCTCTTCATGACAAGAAAAAATATTTTTAGTAATTGTACGGTGATAGATGCTAACTAGACTTACTGTGGTGATCATTTCGCAATATATACGAATATCCAATCATGTTGTACAACCTAAAGCTAAGACAACGTTATATCTCACTTTAAAAAGTTAAAAAATTCCTAGTATTTTTTATTCCCTTTCTTTAGAAACGTTCTGCCTGTACCTTTTAGCCCTCACTTCGCCCCATTTATTTGCCCGTTTTGTCCCCCCCACTTCAGCCCCTATTTCCTTTTCATTCGTTGGACGGCCAATTGCCTTCTCTTTTAACCTTTTGATTCCTTGGTTGTTTCCCCCTTTCTTCCCTTCTCCCCACTTTTTTACAGGCGCGTGTGGGAGTCTCCCTAGAATTCTTTACACCTTGCTCCCCTAACTCCGCCTTATTACTCTTTCCTCAATCTTTGGTCGCTCAGGTTACCTCTTTTCTTGCGGCCACGGACGACTACAGGCCCCTGGCCTTTTCGTTGTTTCATGACGAGCCAGAGCTCTTCTTCACCAACTGAACTCCCGCTCCAGTACCTAAGCCGTAGCCTCCCGCCATCCTTTCCCAAGGCGCCTGCGTTCCCCGGCAACCGGAGCCGCCGGGCAGTCTGGGAAGCAGGAAGAAGCGGCTCTTCCTGTAACAGTCTGCGAGAAGCTGTGAGAAGGAAAGGCGCCAAGACTTCTTCCCGCAAATAGACTACAACACCCAGCATGCTCTGCTACACTACCTCTCCGAGGTTCGCCGCTGTCGCCTCCAGCAGCGCAAGCGCAAAGGGATACGCCCTTTGAGGACTTCATTGCCCAAGGTGCATTGCCTTTAGGAGGGCTTGTCTTTCCGGCGAGGGTCAATGAGGTCTCCGCCTGGGGTCTGAGAGAACCGTAAACTCCGTTACCCAGCTTCCTTTGTGGAGGGCTGTTGCGCACTTCCGGTGGAAGGGCTGAGGAGAGGGGGTGGAGTTTACGGAGCCGGTGGGCGGTGGGCGGTGCTGCCGGTAGCTGGGTGCTGTCCAAAGGCACTGGGCGTCGCTAGGGGAGCGAGCTGTGACCGGTTGGGCCTCACTTGGCGTGGGACGAAGCTTAGGCTACTGTTTGTCTACGTGAGGCCTTCCCTTCATGTCGGCCCTCGAGAAGAGCATGCATCTCGGCCGCCTGCCCTCTCGCCCACCTCTCCCCGGCAGCGGGGGCAGTCAGAGCGGAGCCAAGATGCGAATGGGGTACGTGACCCATACCCCTTTTCCCTAGAGGCTAGGCCCCGGCCATTAGAGAATGGTGTCTCTGGGCGTTTAGAGCGCCATGGCAAGGGAAGCTAAGGATGGGAGAGAATATTGGCGGCGGCCTGGAGACATTTAGATGGTGTTGAAGGCGAATTTGGGAACTAGGGGAGGCGCCAAGTCGATGGAAATTTGAAGACATAGTATTGAAGGAAGGAGGGAATGAGGCAGATTGAGAAAGCTGAGAGGATCATTTAAGAGATGTAGGAGGCACCTCCAGAAGAAGTGATGGAGGAGGTTTGAGGAAAGGTAGTAGAGGTGACAAAAGTCGGGGAATATCTGTCGGAGAGGGTTGAGGGAAATGGAGAATGACTGAGAGAAAAGTTGAGGGGAATTAGGGGAACAACTAGGGAAAGATTTGGGAGTAGTAAGAAGACTGAAAGAACTAGATATTAGAAAAGCTGAGGGAGGGGTGCCTGGGTGGCTCAGTCGGTTAAGCGCGGTCTGCCTTCGGCTCAGGTCATGATCCCAGAGTCCTGGGATCCAGCGAGCCCCACGTGGGGCTCTCAGCTCAGCGGGAGCCTGCTTCTCCCTCTCCCTACCATTCCCCCTGCTTGTACTCTCTGTCAAATAAATAAGATTTAAAAAAAAAAAAAAAGAAGAAAAGCTGAGGGAAATGAGAACACCTGAGGCAGGGTTGAAGGAAAGAAAACTAGGGAGCAGAAGGTTTTAGTGCCTCTTTTATTTTATTTTATTTTATTTTATTATGTTATGTTTATCACCATACATTACATCATTAGTTTTTGATGTAGTGTTCCATGATTCAGGGAGCAGAAGGTTCTAGAGAGAGTTCCTAGAGGTGTAAGAGGCAGATTCAGAGAGTGAGGGGATGATTAGGAGATTAGATCTCTTATGGGAGAACTGAGAAAGCTTGAAAACAGGGCTAAGAAAAGATGGAGAATATAGCCAAGTAGACTGTTAAAGGTAATAGGAATGTGCTGAGGAGGGGAGGATGAGGTGCTTAGAGAGTGACCATGGACTCTAGAGATGGAGAAAAGACTGGGAACAGGGTTTAGTGAATGAAAGTGTTGCAGAGATAAGGTATGGGAAGCTTAAAGAGAATATTTGGGCAGTTGATTTTTGCCAGGCAAATAAGTCTGATGGAAGGTATATACTGGTTTGATAAGACTCAGAATTAATGAAGCATTCAGAGTAGCCAGTTAAAATGTTTTGGGGAAAACCATTTACTGGGAAAGGAGGAGCTTTGTTGAAGAGATAGGTTTGGGGAATTTTAGGTTGTTGAATGGCTTGTGCCAGATTAGGGGGTACTCAGGTGTAGGAGAGACGGGTATGAGTTGAACATGGGAGAGGTAATTACTAGAAAGCAGAGGGAATTGAATAGGCAGGTTTTTTTGAGGGGTATTTGTAGTATCAAATAGTATTCTGGAGACTAGTGACTGTAAAGAGAAAAGGGGTAGAAAGAATAGGTATGAGGTAGTCAAAAAGGTGTATTTGGGATTTTAGAGATGGGTTGATACATAGACTTGGAGTAAAGACTAGAGAGGAGAAACCTTAGTTTCTAAAGAAGTAATACGTACAAAAACTGATCAAAAAGGAGATGAGGATAAGAGATGCAGTACTGTGAAAGAAGGTACTTGGAATAAAGAGAAAGAAGAATCCCATAAATTAAAACAGTAGGGTAGAGAGCTGGTGAGAATTGGGGGGGGGGGTGTGAAAAAACCAGGGGAGGAAATTAAGAATTGGAGACCTGACTATGATACACAGTAGAAATGTGAGAAAACCTTAACAGAAGATAGATGTTGGATGCACAATGGAAAGAGGTAGTAGAAGGCCTCATATAAGGTAAAATGGAGATTGTTTTGGCTTTAGAAGACAGAAAGGTAAAACTGTAACATGAATAAGGAGGATCTGGGAACTGATCCATGATAGATTATTTGGGAAAATTAACCTGGAGTATAAAAATAAATGTAACATTTATTGTTGGTATGTGTCTTAATTGCTGCCTTTCTTAAACTAAAATTTGGTCCTTTAGTATACCAGCACTCTTCTGTAAAAATATTAGCTTTTTAATAACTATACATGCTACAGCTAGGTTTAGAGCTCAGCTTCTCACTTTGTTGAAATAAGTTCTCTGAAGATGAGAACTGAAAAGAAAAACACTAAGAGAAAATAAAGGGAAAATCTGCTGATTAGAAGATTGTATAATTTTTGGTAACTTACCCTCCTTAAATAGATGTTTTGGTCTGCTTTGTTAACTGCTTATCCTAGAAAATAAAGTTCTTTAGAAAAATCCTTCTTTATAATATTGTGAAGAGAAGAACTATGTTGGTGAATTTTATGTGCTCCTCAAGTGGCTTGTTTTCCTATGTTTTTCTTTTCTATTTCCTTACTAGAACATAGGCAAGCCTCAGCTGAGTCTAAAGTTAGTGGTAACAAAGACTCTCTCCCTGCCCTAGAAAAAGAGCTTTCATTTGAATATTTTTTGTTAATAAATAAGAAAACAAACTCAGGGTGCCTGGGTAGCACAGTTGGTTAAGCACCCAACTCTTGGTTTCAGCTCAGGTTATGGTTTCAGGGTCATGAGATGGAGCCCCGAGTTGGGCTCCATGCTTAGTGTGGAGTCTACTTGAGATTCTGTCCCTCTACCTCTCCCGCTTGTGCTCTCTCTCTCTCAAATAAATAATTAAATCTTTAAGAAAAAAAAAAAGAAAACTCAAATCTTCATACTAAGGCAGTAGAAGCTTAGTGGTAGGGCCATTAAAGACTAAGACTTGAGTGTCTGAGACCCATTATGTTTTTTGGATTCATAGTTGTTATCCTGGCAATACTTAATTTGAGTTGTGCGTCTTATTTCTTTCAAATACTCCAGCATTCAGCCTTTCCTCAGTCTTGATTTATGAAGTCTCACTTCAATTTTAAAGCATCGTTCTTTATTTCTCCTTTTATTCATTTATTTGCATTTTTCTTATCTACCCATCTTTTTCCATTTCCCCATCTCTTACTCTCAAGTTGGACCTGTTCCTTTGACAGTCTTTTATATGACTTACTCTTTCAACTCTTTCAATTCATAATCTCTCGCCTTTAATTTCACTAAACCTTATTTAGATGTGTTCGCATATTCAAAGTGGTTTTGAGTTTATGATTTTCCTTGAGTTTCCATAATTTAGTTTTTCAAATTAACTTAGTAACTCCAGAATATTGCTAGATATGTAATAATATCTATTATTATTGTATTGTAATGTAATAATAACAGTCACTTTCTTTTCCCAAGTAGGTACTTTGTGCCAGTCATTGTAGTAATAGCTTTATGTATATTTATTTAATCTGATCACAACCTTGCAAGGTAGATATTTCTCTGCATTTATAAGGAAATTCAGACTGAGATTAAAGGTCACCCAACTAGTATGTGGCAGAACCAGGATTCAATTGCTGTTTAGTCTCAAAACACCGCACTTTTTCTTGGGTTAAGGCCTGAAATCCTGGTTTCACTGTTCCTTGATAGAAGCCAGTAGATGATGCCAAAAACAGTGGTTTTGAACTTTTTTATTAAAGATTTTGGAGATGCTTTGGTTTGTGATCCCTACTTACAACTGGTATCTTAGTGTGTTAGAGTTGCCATAACAAAAATACCATACATTGGTTGGCTTATAAACAATAGGAATGCATTTCTCACATTTCTGGAGGCTTGGAAGTCCAAGATCAAGCTGCCGACAGATTCTGTGTCCAATGGGGACCACATGCTGGTTCATTGATGGCAGTCTTATTGCTGTGTCTTCACATGGCAGAGGAGGAAGGAAGCTCTGTGGCATGTTTTCTAAGGGCAGTAATCCCATTCATGAAGGCTATACTCTCATGACCTCATCACCTCCCAAGGCCCACTTCCAAATACCATCACATTGAACGTTAGAATTTAACATGAATTTGGGGCTGGACACAAACATTCAGTCTACAGTACCTGGGTGTGCTTGAGAGGAGTATGTTTTAAAAATCACTGCTTTAGGGCGCCTGGGTGGCTCAGTTGGTTAAGCGACTGCCTTCGGCTCAGGTCATGATCCTGAAGTTCCGGGATCGAGTCCCGCATCGGGCTCCCTGCTCAGCGGGGAGTCTGCTTCTCCCTCTGACCCTCCCCCCTCTCATGCTCTCTCTATCTCATTCTC